GGAAGTATGTATGTATGTATGTATGTGCCAGGTTGCAGCCTAAACGGACGGACAGAGTCGAACAAAATTTTGACAGAGTATTGCCATGACACCTGGGCCTATAATAGGGTAAAAAATTGGGATTCGACAAGGGGGCGTGGCACCTCCCATAGGCGTAAAATTTTTAATCAGCCATAAATTCGAAACTATAAGTCACATGAACTTGAAATTTGGTATGCAGTCATATATATGGTAGGTGCTTACAGTAGAGTATATATAAATTACTGTGAAAAAGTGGGCGTGGCACATCTCATAGGCGTGAAATTTGTCATCAATCATAACTTCGGAACCATAAGTCACATGAACTTGAAATTTGGTATACAGTCATATATATGGTAGGTGCTTATATTTAGTATGGTATAAATAAATGAGTTTGTAGAAGTGGGCGTGGCACATCCAATAGGCGTGGAATATTTCATCAGCTATAAATCCGAAATTATAAGTCATATGAACTTGAAATTTGTTATTCAGTCATACATATGGTAGGTGCTTATAGTAGGGTATATATGGACGAGGTTGTAAAAGTGGGCGTGACACATCCCATAGGAATATTTTATCAGCTATAACTCCGGAACTATAAGCCACATGAACTTGAAATTTGGTATGCAGACATAACTATGGTAGCTGCTTACAGTAAAGTATATATAAAGGGGTTTGTAAAAGGGGGCGTGGCACATCCCATAGGCGTGGAAATTTATATCAGCTATAATTTCACAACCATCAGTCACATGAAATTGAAATTAAGTATGTAGACATATCTGCGGTAGGTGCTTATAGTAGGCTATATTATATATTTTATCAACTATAACTTGGGAACCACAAGTCCCAAGAACTTGAACTTGGTGTGCAGCAATATCTATCTATAAGTCCCACGATCTTCAAATTTAGTATGCAGATATATCAATGGCAGGTGCTTATATATAAATGGGTTTGTAAAAGGGGGCGTGGCACATCCCGCAGGCGTGGAAGATTGTATCAGCTATAATTTCAAAACCATAAGTCAAATGAATTGAAATTTGGTGCGCAAACGTATCTATGGTAGGTGCTTATAGTAGGGTATCTTAATATATAAATATCCCGTGTCACTGTGTTCGTTTACACTAATCTCCGATACCACTTAACCGATTTCAGTGAAATTTTGTGGGTGTGTATTGTAGGTTCCAACTTAAAAGATAGGATAGTTGTGAATCCGAGAAAAAATATATTTTTTTTCATCGAAATTTTTTCTATGCTTCTCGCATCGTGCTTATCTAATATACATATAAAAATCGAACTCTTCCTAAACGGCACGATCGATCTTTATGAAATTTTTTGTGTTATATATGGTAGGTATGAGAATCGGATGTAAAGTATATTTCATACCGCCAGGTGCAGGGGGGCGTGGGGCCTCCCATACAAACCGAATTTTTCATATTGCACATCTCTGGAAGTGTTCATGGTAGACTACTCGAATATGGTATGGAGATATATGAAAACATTGCATATTCATGGATAAAAATTGCGGTTATTGAGAAAAGTTACGTGGCACCTCCCATACAAACCGAATTTTTCATACTGCATATCCCGGAAAATGTTCATGGAAGAGGTCTCGAACTTGGTATGGAAATATATGAAAGCAATCGTATACTCCTGGAGATAAATTGTGGTTATCGGAAAAGGAGGCGTGGCACTTCCCATACACATCGAATTTTCCATAATGCATATCTCTGAATGTGTTCATGGAAGAGTACTGGAACTTGGTATGTACAAGATATATAAAACGCGACTGGTCATGAAGAAAAGTTGGGGCTATTGGAAAAAGGGACGTGACACCTCCCATGGTAAATTACTCGAAAATGGTATAGAGATATATGAAATCAATCCCATGCTCTTGGAGAAAATTGGGGTTATTTGGAAAGGGGACGTGGCGCCTTTGAAACGCACTGAAACTATTACGTATCTTTGTATGCATGTACAGTTTTGCTAAGTTATTTAAGACGGCAAATATGCCTACTGACAACCACCAAACCGGAATATTAGAAGACAAATGCGTCACTAAAAATCATGAACGTGAACTCTTGGTGAAAAAGTTGGACCAAAATGTTTCAACACACGGTTAAAAATTTTAAACTTTTTGGACTACACACATATATGACCAAACTAAATAAATTCAGTTTCAAATACAAACTTTCTAAATTAAAAAAAAAGAGGGCACATATGTTGGGCTTAGAATTTAAACAGTTCGGTTTAAATTTTAAACCCAAACATTTTCATAATTAAGAATAAAAAATAAAAATAAAATTTCATGCTCCGTCAGATGGGGATTGAACCCGGACAGCCTTAGTAGCAACCAATTATATCAAGCAGCTTTGCACACTCAGCCACAGCCACGCATGTAAATGTGCTTTCATATGTTGAGTTTGAATCAACACCACATTTCGCTGTGTGCAAACATTTTCTATTTCGGTTTAGATTTTAAACCAAATTTTCTATATATGAAACCTAGAAACTAGAATTAAAACATTTTCGTTTGATTTTTAAACCACGAACTTTTTGGACTAAAATTTAAACCACAATATATTAAAAATTGCTTAAAACTATTGACTGGTTTAAAAAGTAGACTATAAAAGATTAAAAAAGGCAGTAGTCCCAGCGCGGTTTAAAAATTAAACCCAAATCTTTGACCGTGCACAAAAAAATTATTTTGGGCGGGACGAAGTTCGCCGGGTCTGCTAGTAACTATATAATACTAGCAGAGCACCCGACGTCGTTCGGGGTAATTAAATCAAAATATAAAACAGTAATACAAATATTCAGATCAGCATAAATTAGAGGAGAAATACTAATTTCTTTTCTTTCTAAATTATGGCATCCATATAAGCAATAGTTTAAGATTTATCGTACTTTCACTAATATATATTGATCACCACTTTCTGTACTAAAAATCTTTTTCCATTATTAATATTAGCTGGATTAAGGTAACGATAGAATTTTCAAATTAAAATTAGTCCACTATGGTACATTTCGTTTAGCTTCCTATTCGCCTAGCTGCTTTGCGGCCGGTTACTCAATGTATGGTTAACACTAATCTGAGGTTAAACATCGTTGTCGACCTCTTTGACTCCATGCATACAACAGGGAGTCGGTAACGTCGATAACTATGTTTAACCGGAGATTAGTGTTAACCGAACTTTGAGTAACTGGCCCTTAGTATAGCTGAATTTTTCTTAAAAAATGCTTAATTCAGAAAAAGTGTTATTCATTATACATGCACATGTTTCGTTTGACAGCATCGCGGGATTAATAAAATGATTTAATCTTTCCATTTCAAGAAGGTCTAAAGACTGTGAGGTTTCAAAAAACACAGTTTTAAATATCCGTGTGATCTTATAGTTGAATACATATTTCTCCCTCTTTTACAAACACATTTACTTTATTCTAACCACCTCCCATACATATGTCTGCATACAAAATTTCATGTTCATGTGACTAATGGTTCCCAATTTATGGCTGGTTAAAAATTCCACGCCTATGGGATGTGACACGTCCCCCTTTATAAACCCATTAATAACATATCTTACTATAAATACCTACCAAAGATATGTCTGCATACCAAATTTCAACTTCAGGTGACTTATGATTTTAAAGTTATAGGTGATAAAAACTTCCACGCCTATGGGATGTGCCACGCCTCATTTTAAAAACTCACTTATATATATGTTTTTATAAGAGCTTACCATATCTATACCTACGTACCAAATTTCGAGCTTGTGGGGCTTATGGTTCCGAAGTTATAGCTGATAAAAAATTCCACGTCTACGGGATGTGCCATGCCCCCTTTTATAACCTCATTCACATACACCTTACTATAAGCACCTCCCGTAGCTGAGTCTGCGTACCAAATTTCAAGTTCATGGGGCTTATGGTTCCGAAGTTATATTTGATAAAAATTTCACGCCTATGGGATGTTCCACGCCCCCTTTTATAAACACATTCATATACACCTTAATATAAGCACCTACTGTAACTGTGTCTGCATACTAAATTTCAAGTTCATGGGGCTTATGGTTCTGAAGTTATAGCTGATAAATATTCCACGCCTATGGGATGTTCCACGCCCCCTTTTATAAACTCATTCATATACACCTTACTATAAGCACCTACTGTAACTGTGTCTGCATACTAAATTTCAAGTTCATGGGCCTTATGGTTCCGAAGTTATAGCTGATAAATATTCCACGCCAACGGGATGTGCCACGCCCTATTTTAAAAACTCATTTATATATACCTTATTATAAGCGCACACCATAGACATGGCTGCATCCCAAATTTAAAGTTCATGGGGCTTATGATTTCGAATTATAGCTGATAAAAAATTGCAGGCCTACGGGATGTGCCACGCCCCCTTTTATAAACTCATTCATATACACCTTACTATAAGCACCTACCGTAGCTGTGCCTGCATACCAAATTTCAATTTCATTGGGCTTATGGTTCCGAAGTTATAGCTGATAAATATTTCACGCCTATGGGATGTGCCACGCCCCTTTTACAAACTCATTTATATATACCTTATTATAAGCGCCCGCCATAGATATATCTGCATACCACATTCAAAGTTCATATGATTTATGTTTTCGAAGTTATAGCTGATAAAAATTCCACGCCTATGGGATGTGCCACGCCCCCTTTCACAAACTCATTTATATATGTATACATAAATTACTATAAGCACCTACCGTAGCTGTGCCTGCATACCAAATTTCAAATTCGTGGGGCTTATGGTTTCGAAGTTATAGCTGATAAAAAATTTCACGCCTATGGGAGGTGCTAGTCTCAAGTTTTTTCTCATGTGTCATGGCTATACTCTGTCCAGATTTCGTTCGATTCTGCCCGTCCGTTTAGGCTACAACTTGGAACATACATACATACATACTTCCACAAATATGTAGTAGATTAAAAACTAGTTTTTATTTTTGCAGTTTTTGAAAGAACTGGAGATCACCGAAAATGGCATGGACATTCTAGATTTGAGTTCTTTGGCGCAACTTGAGACATTGACGTGTAATCATAACAAATTAAAGGAACTGATAATTAATGGGAAAAGTTTGAAAATTTTAACGGCGAAACATAACAGTGAGTATCAATAGTTTTACATACATAAATATACGCATACATCTGTGGTGACAGGTATGCAACCGATATTATACGTTACTTTTAAGAAAAGCGAGATTCATAGATGCAATATTGCTTATTTTGAAATTTTTATTTTTGTACGAATAATTTACAAATAAGTCTAAGCTTCGCGGTCATTTTTGGCAAGAACTCTTATAAGGCCAAGGGAAACGACGCCTTGATGTTTTGACACCACCGACATGCGTCAACCACTTAAAGAACTGGATCTTATTTCCCTGCATTCTGTCTTGTAATGCGGCGGTGCTTCAGAGTATTACATGCTAAGAAGCTTGGGAGAGACTTAAAAAGCAAAATTTCCGTTAATCGGGACTTTACCGTTCAATTGCCTACGAAGTCCAGAGTGCTAGAGTACTAGCGATCGCGATCGAAAAAATCCAGGTCCGACTCCGGATCAGCGTAATATCCACGTAACTGTTAGGCTTTTTAGTACAATCTTTTACTCTATGCCGAGAAAAAACTAGGGCAGCAGTTAATCGGTTTCAAGCCGGGCACAGTTGAGATATGAAGTGATCACTCCTGAACGCTTTTAAATGGCTACACAGGGGGTGGTTTAATGAAGATGAACCTGATCCAGTGTAATAGTTCAACACGCGAACAGCAATAATGATGCTTAAAAGCAACGAATGATCTGGAGCTGACAGAGTATCAGCTGATCAAAGCTGGTTGGGTGCATGTACATATCGTCACTAGACACGAATAAAGGCGCGAGCTCAAAAGTTGACCGCGAAAAAAGACGCATGGAAAAAACTTCAACGAAGAAAGACTCCTAACATAGTTAACTGCGAAGAAAGACGCGTTGAAATATTTGACGGCGAAGAAAGACCCGTAACTCATTTTCGTGGTCGATTATGTTTGCAGGTGTAACAGTATGTATATTCCCCAAAGAGTTTTTAGGGAATGATGCTTAAGTGACAGTCCTTGGCCAGGTACAAATCTATGTTTACGCGTCTTTCTTCGCCGAAGTTTTCCTTATGCGTCTATTTTCGTAAGATCTTTTTTACGTGTCTTTTTTCGCCGTCAAAACAACAGCGCGCCTTTATTCGTGTGTAGTGACGATCAGTGTTGCCATTTTAGCCGTTTTCCGGCTAGATTTAGCCGGTTGCGATAGCAAACAGCCGGAGAAATTTCAATTTAGCCGGCAGCCGATTTGTTAGCCGTTTTGCAGAAAAAAATTAGCCGTTTCTGGCCGATTTTGTTATTTGCCTTGTTTTCTTAAATTTCAAATATATATATATGTTTCTATTTTTGACTAAGCGACCCAAAATATGTTAGAAATGGCTACTAGCCTTATCGTGGAGAAAATTTTCATGTCAGGCAGGGTTGTATGAAATTGGGCCGATCTCGCTTATTTTTATTTTAAACGAAGAAGGGATATTCTTCATAAAATGTTTGTTATAAATGTCTTAATTTTAAGTGTGAAGTTTTATTCCTAAACTTAGAAAATAAGAAATTGTTTCACTGTTAAGATACTTAAGATGCGTTTGTGTTTGGATATAATGCCAACAAACAGAATAAATATTACATGTAGATATTGTCTTCCCAGATAGCGCATATTCAATTCCGCCTAAATTACAAAATATCGTTTTTGCCCACTCCCAAAGGTTTAAAGTAAGGGAAAAATTGATATTTTCAAGCACTATGTACACATACACTGCTGGAACAAAGTATTGGCACAGCAAATTTTTCACAATGTATGCAACAATTTTCATTCTAATATTTTTTCCGCAAATTTCGTATGAAAAAATGGTTTATTCTACAAGAAAAAACATAAAAATATAATTCCTAAACTTTATGCAAAACTCGCGAAAATTCAGCAAATTTTCATGAAAATGTTAAACTTTTTAATCAGATTTTTTTAGAATTTATTGAGTATCCATATTTTTAGCCCAATCAATTTTATTACAATAAAGTGCAAGCTTTAAGTAGCTAGGAATTACCGTTGATTTTTGGCAATTTTTTTTCCACGCTGTCTCTTCCATAAAATCTTTTTTTTTCCGAAAATCCTTTATATGGAAAAAATGCAAAACACCTTCAACAAAAAAAAATCTCAAAAATCAAAGCGATTCTTGACTAAGTTCGTTTTCGCATTTTTTATTACTAGAATTTAATGGGCTATAAAACTGCATACTCAAAAAAATTCTCAAAAATCTGACTAAAAAGTTGAAAATTTTGATGAAAATTTGCTAAATTTTTGCGAGTTTTGCACAAAGTTTAGGATTTATATTTTTTTGTTTTTTGTTGTTGAATAAACCATATTTTTGTAAAAAATTGGCGGAAAAATATTATAATAAAAATTGTTGCATATATTGTGAAAAATTTGCTGTGCCAATACTTTGTTCCGGCAGAGTTTGTATTTTTTTAAACAAACTTTTTTGCTGAGAACTCATTTAAATTCCAAAAACCGAATGCCAGCTTGAATTAAAGGAACTAACACTGTCGAGTGAGTCGAAATGAAAATAAAAGAGCACAAATTTTTATGTAAAGCAAAACTCTCTGGGAATCCTACGAGACATCTGCCGGTCATATGACCGGTCATCCAAATGAGAGATCTGCAGTCTTTTGGCATCATATTTTACATCAGAATTTAAGAGATTTCTGAAAAATCTGACCAGTTCTTTTGTGTAACTGTGATTTTGCATCCCTTGTCAACATATGGCCTCGGTTGATGTTAACTTAAGGTCGTTGTTTTACTGCCTTAAAATTGAAGGGAAATTTTTACAGCGTTTTTTATGTGTATTGGTTTCTATTTGAGTGTATTGAGAATCGGTCAGTCAATAGGTTTGTTCGTCGAAAATTCAGCGGGAATTATTACTCAAAATATCAGATAGTAAGAAAAAATGCTTCCAAATTCTCTCTCATGTAGAGAAACTTGCAATTTTCTGTACGAACGCAAATTTACAAGCTTTTCTGCCAGCTAGTGTCTACGGTTGCATTTCAAACAAAAGAAATTTGTATAGAATTTTTAAAATTCTTTTACAGGGGCAAAAAACAGGATCTATGTGTATATATCTTGTCAGTCCGACTTTCTTTCTTCAACATATCATTCAATTTCTTTGTCGGGTTTACTATATCGACTCTGGTTGAGATTGCATTCCGGTTAAGAATACAGTTTTTTTTGCCGAGTACCTTTTAAATCATTGGAATTAACTAAATTAATTAAGTAAACAAGTATTAACATACATTTTTCATTTTAAAATCGCTCCAGTTTGCACATTTTTAAATTTAACGAACTTGTTTATTCAAATTATCGTCGACAAAAAATCCAACCATGTGCCACAATCATATGTTTTTCCTAATTGCAAATTCTTGGCGGCAAAATTTTTTCCGGCTCGAATTTGTAACTTCTCTCCAAGAAATAGTCTTTTTACGCGTGATTTATTGAAATAAAACATGTGAAATTTAGTTGAAACATTTTAGCCGTTTTTAGCCGGTTTTATTTGCCAATTTAGCCGGTTCGTCCAAAAAGTTCTGGCAACACTGGTGACGATATGTATGAGCAGTTCATCAGAATTTTGTCTGAATAATTCATCCGGGAAGAGAAAACACGTTGAGTACAACTTTTAGCTCGGTCACTTTTGTGATTCCTGAATTTTGAATTCAGACGTGCATTTTGAGTGATTTATAGAGTGTGATTTTTGTACGACGAGAGAGTAAATAAAGTCCTCTTCTCAGTTGCCTAATCAGTCCAAAGTAGCACTCGTTGGCAAGAGTTGGATTTCAAGGTTGACATTACTGTTGGTGTTAATGCTTCTTCCTCAAGAAGCATATACTTACGGTGACCATCCGTCCTTTATTTTAGCTCTCTGTCCATTATAATTTTTTTCAAAATAAAGGACGCGTTTTGTCCTTTATTTCTTAATCTGTCCTTTAAATTAATAATAATAATATAATAATAGATTGGCGCTTACACATATGTTAGTGTTTGGCCGAGCTTCTCCTCCGACTTGTGGCGTGCGCCTTGATATTGCCACACAAGGCGAAGGGACCTACAGTTTTACGCCGACTCCGAACGGCGATTGTATTTTTATGAGAAGCTGTTTTTCATGGCAGAAATACGATCGGAGGTTTGCCATTGCCTGCCGACGGACGACCGCTGTTAAGAAAAAACCTTTTTTCTATATTTTTTGCGATGTTGCTTTGTTCCTTTAAATTAGTTCTGGATTTTTCAGAGGTAAATTTTTAACAGAGAATATAAAATAATAATAATGTCCCTTATAAAATATAATGAAAACCTTCGCCTTTGTTTCGCTCCTCTCTTAAGGGTTGCTATTTAATCGATAATCTTCGTGCAATCTATAAATCACGAATCATTGCTAATACTGATAGAAAAATTAATATACATACTTTGAGTAAAATTCTCAAAAGAAAGGGGAAAGTTGGGCCCAGTACGTGTTGCACGTTGAGTTTCAAAACTGGCATTTAGTGTTCATAATTCCCTGGAGACTTAATTTTTCACTCATTTGGTTAATTTTTTGAATGAAAGCTTATAAAATTTGCAAGTGCTCAGTGGAGCCTTATTTGTGAATTTTTTATTTTAAATTTTTTAGTGCAAGTGCAGAAAAAGTAGCAATTTTGAAGAACATGTATGCTACTTTTCCGTTAATAAATGTTACATAATAAAAACCAGTTGAAAGCAATTGTTTGGTTCTTCCAAAATTGAAAAAAAAAAAACAAAAATTTGAAATGTTATAAAAAATTTTCACCAAAATAATTTTTTTTGTTTGTATTAAAAATTGGTATATGCAGTTTAATAGATCATTAAATTTTATAATAATAAAGAGCAAGGTGCAAGTGTCTAAGAGTTCCCGTTGATTTTTAAAAATAAAACAAACGCATTTATTTCCCATTTTGCATGCAGGTGTGCTCGAAGTGTTATCGAAAAAAAATTATTAAAAATCAACGCAATCTCTTAGCTACTTGCAACTTGCACTTATTGTACTACAATTTAATAATCTATACAACTGCATACCCACAATTTTTCTAAAGACTAAAATTTTTTTTTAATTTTGGTGAAATTTTTTTATAATATTTCAAATTTTTCTTCTGAAATTATTCTTAATTTCGGAGGAAACCTACAATCGCTTTCAATTAGGTTTTATTATGTAACATTTATTAACTGGAACAGGAGAATCGATATTCTTCAAAATTGCTACTTTTTCGGCACTTTCAAAATTCGTGCTCAACTGGTCTCTTACTAGGTTTATAAGCTTTCATAAAAAAATAATAATCCAAGCGTCTTTAAAAAAGGGAAACTTGTACAATTAGATAATATAATGTACTAGTAAATGTTTGATTTAAATTACGATACTTTTATCATTTTGAAAAAAACTGTCCTTTATTTTACGTTGGTTAATATGGTCGCCGTACATATACTACGTTTATGTGACAGAATGCACGAATTCTTCATTTCATGAATTCATGCAAAGTTCGCGAATTCATGAAATAAAGTGCTTTGAAAAGGTGGCAACGCACTGGCGAGAAACTAAAAACTAGGGTTGTGACTTTTTTGGCCTCCTTTTAAATTTGCAAAAGCCGTAGGTACCAGGCAATGAACCATATTATGTTTAAATTGGCTTTAATATATTTTCAGTTTATTCTATTTCAATTTATTTTATATTTTAACAATCCCATACAACTTTTCCAGTGTTTTAAATCCTGGTTATGCCACTCATGTTTTTTAATCTAAAAACATCATAACCCTAGTAAACAGCTGTTTGAGCACTTCACGATTTCATGAAATGATGCCGAAATCGTGGTTAACTTTCGTGTATAATTGATGAAATGGTTTTTATGCAGCCAATTTTAACCCAAATTCATGAAATGAATTCGTGAATTAACCTGCGCATAAACGTAGTAATAGTCATCTACGTTTTCGAAATTATATGTATGCTCTAGGGCAGGGGTTCCCAAACTTTTTTCACCGCGGCACCCTTATTGGGTGATTTGACAATTTTCCCCTGAAATCATTTGACGCTGAAAGCTTGCTGGTGTATATGTTTTTAACCGACTTCACAAAAAGGAGAAGGTTATCAATTTGTCGGAATATTTTTGTTTTCCCGCCATCTGTGGGCATTAGCGTTAAAATGTAAAAAAATCGTTCCTTACTAGTGTTTGGACTTAACTAAGATCAGATTAGATTTACTCCGGTTTTTGAAAAAATTTGAAATCTACTTCTCTACTCCGCTTGACTTCAAATCTATTCCGTTTCTATTTATTCATGTTATGCCCCTCTTGGGGCCGTTTTTTGAGTGTTCACCACCGGTTTCAGTAAAAAAAATTTAAAGTTAGCCAAATCTCACTGTTAAAAAGTAACTCTTTCATAGCAATGCGTCAATAAAATTTGTTGATGTATGCCTGTAGAAATTGGCGGATGCATAACTTTACTTAAGTTGTTAAAAAATATATGTAGAATGAAATTTATATAAAGTAGAAAAAGTTTAGATCCTGTTGCTCTTTAAAAAATTAAGGGCCTTATTCTGTATCACGAACGATAGGCAAAACGAACAATTCGTCTGCAGACGACAACCTCTCTGGTTGCGATTTTAAACTCTATCGGTCTTCTTCGTCTTGCATTTCATACATTACGTTGCAATGGTCTCGGTTGCGTTTAAACCGGCTAAAATGATGCCGCCGGACTAATTTTTGAAGCATTCCTCTGCAGACGAATCGTTCGTGTTGCCTATCATTCGTGATACAGAATAAGGCTGTAAGTGTTAGAAACGTTCTACTTTATAGAAAATGCTAAATATTACCTAAATATTTAACATATTATCCTTACATTGCCCCGCGTTCTTATTTTTGCATGAATAGAAATTTAGTTATTTGTTTATGTTTTTCTTTTGTTATTATTAAAATTTATTAAAAGCATTTGTGTGTTGAATGAATTTCTATTCAGGTAGTTTTTTTTAAGGAATCGGCATCGGCCGATCCTTTGCCGTCCGGCCGATTAATCGGCATCGGTATCTACCTAAAATTGGGAATCGGTCGGACTCTAAACCCTATACCTGAGCTGTTCAGTGATGCAGCTCTTATTATGTTCCTCAAGATCAGATTAAGGAAATTACATGAAAAGGAGTCACCTTGTCTAAAAGCTCACTTGGTATCAAACCGCTCAGAGAGCTTTTTCCCAATTCTGACGGAGCTGCTGGTCTTGCTCAAAGTAACACACAGGCGTATAATTGTCGCGGAGATACCAAATTCAGACATCGCGGCATAAAGACAACTTCTTTTCGTGCTGTCGAAAGCGGATTTGAAATCGACAAATAGATGGTGAGTGTCGAGTCTTTTCCAATAGTTGGCACGTATGGCGGGGACGCCTTTCTTGTGGATTGGGCAGAGCATACTTAAATTCCAGTCGTCGAGCATTTGTTCGTCTGACCATGGTCTGTATAAGAGTTGCTCCATGAACCTTAGCAACTCTCGTGACCGTACTTCAAGAACTCAGCTGGCAGGCAGTCAGCTACAGCAGCTTTATTGGTTTTTAATCCACGTATACGACATTCATGCCTCGTCATAGTCAGGCGGTGGGCCATCAATTTCATGGCCGTCTAATGGGGGCTCGGGTTCGTCCATTCAATTAGGGTGGACAATGGTTCCTTCCATAATTTAAGTACCTTCTGGACATCGGTAACTAGGTCGGCATGGTTGTTCTTACAGGAGTTCGCGCTGATCTTGAAACCTTGCGTAAGTCGCTTGACTTTTTGATAATTTTTTTGGCCTGTTTCTTGTCGGAAAGCATTTCATGCTCTTCACGTATTTCGGCCAATCTTTTTTAATACGGAAAACTTTGCTCGCTTTCTCTTCAGCTCCCTAAATCGCAGCGTGGGCCTGCTGAAATCCTGTATCTCTGTCTAGCATTTGGTTCCTCGTTTTTCGATATGGAGGCAGTCGTATGGGTTTTTAGATCTTTTTATGCTTGAAGCTAGCGCTGCATAGTAACATGTTTCGAAGTCCGGTAAAGTCGATCAGACTCAGTCCGTTGTGGAGGCTGAATTTTCCGACGATCGCGTCAAAGATCGCTTCCTTGCCACCCTGGCATTGAAATCATAAAGCACGATTTTTATATCGTGCCGGGGACAGCGCTCGCATGTGCGCTCCAAGCGTTCATAAAAGAGATCTTTGGAAGCTTCGTCCTCCTCTTCCATCGGGGCGTGGACGCAAATGAGCGGGATGTTGAAGAACCTCACTTTGTTGCGGATTGTGGCTAGATGCTCGTCCACCCGGATGAAAACCAGTACTCGGCTACGGAGTCTCTCTCCCATCACAAATCCAACACAGAATTTCCGCTCCTTTACATGCCAGCAGTAGTAGACGTCGCAAGGCCCCGTATGTTTACTGCCTTGTCTCGTCCATTTCTTGGATGGTGGTGATGTCAGCTTTTGTCCTTCTCCATTAAGGGTCCCGATATTCCAATGGCTCTTGCTTCCTGCATAAAAGTATAATTTATTAGAAAAAGTGGACTTAGCAATATTTACATGAATTAGATAAAAAAAATTATATATATGTATGTATAACTTGTGTGTTACTCTTTTCTTCCAGATCTGGTTACAATTAAGGCTCTATCTTCTCCAACGAAGTTAGTAAACATCGATATATCCAACAATGATTTCGAAGAACTGCCCGATTGGATAGGCGCCTGCAGTAAGTTAAACAGCTTATATGCCGATCACAATCGATTATGGACCATTGACAATATATTCGCCAAAGACGGATTTCAGGAATTGTACACATTTAGTGTTGCTTATAATCACTTGACGTCGTTGACCAGCTCTCCAATGATTTTTGGAACGGTTTCGCATCTATACTTGCAATGCAATAAATTGCAGAAATTACCAGATAATCTCTTTGCGATAACGTGCAAAAGTCTGAAGTTGCTGAATGTCTCGTGCAACAATTTATGTACGGTAGCGCAATGTCATCCAGTAAATGATGCCTGGTGCTTGGAAGAGTTATATCTGTCTAACAATATTCTTAACGAAAGCATATTTCCCACCTTTGCAGAGGCAAGAAAATTACGCATCATTCATGCAGCCTATAATACGATACGTGAGCTGCCTGAAAATATTATACGCAATTGGAATGATTTGGAGGTATTAGTCTTGTCGGGAAATAAGCTACAAGATCTGCCAGACAATATTTGTATGCTAACCAAATTGGAAGTTTTGCGCTTGCATTCAAATTTGTTGTATAAAACACCAAGTCTGTCAAGGTTATCTAACCTCAAAGTATTAGATTTGGCGCATAACCGTTTAGATCATGTTAACCTTTTGCATATTATGCCAAAGAACATAAAATATCTGGATTTGTCATGTAACATGCAATTACAATTTGATGAGAAGCAAGTACAGATGTGCCAGGGTTTAAAGAAAATGAGTTTGGTGGATGTGAGCGGTAAAAATCGGGCATGCTTGCCAACCACAAAACTAGAGGAGTTAAAAGACAACAACGTCACGCGGCAGCCATGGAGTGTAGGATTCGCCGAAACAACTGGAAAGTGTCGCAAACTACTCGTAAAGCAAATACGTTTATGTAATTTTTCAGAGGACGAAGGTCTTTTCGGTATGCTCGAAAGCGCAACTATAGGCGCTGTTACTACCGCGCTGGCGAGCACGGTGCCACAAATATTGATGCATGAGCGAAGTGTAAAGGAAACAGCAAAAGAATATATGAAATATACATTACTATCCATTTATCAGCGCTTAGCTAGCGAAAGAGGATGTGATAATATGCATATTGCACTCTGTCATATTGCCAAAGAAAGTGGGGGATTCAAGGACTATATGCGCCCGAAGAGGACCAGGCGGTACGTATTGCGTGTTGCCAGCATTGGCAACATAGCGGCATATTTAGTTCGGAAAACAACTACAATTTGTTTGACCGCAAATAGCTACAGCACGCAGATTTCCAACAGCGATGACAGCCAAGACGCTGCAACGTCCCGCATAAATGACCCCACGATACACGAAACCTTTCTAAGTAACGATGATGAATTCTTAGTAATTTGCAATGCCCACCTCTGGAAAGTCATGGATATTGAACACGTTACTAAAGAGTTGCGAAAAGAGGAGAATATAGTGCTAGCTGCTAAGCGTTTGCAGGATATTGCTCAAAGCTTCGGTGCAAATGAAAATCTCAGCGTTGTTGTCATTCGTTTCAAATATGTAGGAACCGATGTAGATGATCTATTGAAAGAGCTGAAGCAAACGGTGCGCAAGAATCCCATAGCACAAAACCTAAATACAGACGATAAGCTGTCAATCGCCAGCCATCGTCTCATCGGGCGTTGTTCTCCGCGCCAGAATTTGATGGGTGGCGTGATGAAAAGTGATCGTTCCTCACCGAGTGGACAAAGCGATCATGTGCATAGTTATCTCAACAAAGCGCTTCACAACGAAGAGTACGCTTTTGCGACTGAGCACGTTATTGAGGAAGATGAGGACTTGGAAATTTTACATGAAACCGACTCAGTGCTTTCCGAAGAACAATTCAAATGTTGGGAGTATATGCTAGAACAAAATACACAACTGCTATTCGATAAGGAACTCAATACAATATCAAAATCGATTACAAAAAACCCAAACAATGAAGTACCCAACGAGCCTAACATTGGCCTGGATAAAAGCGAATACAAAGATAATAATTTGATTAAAAATATTGGTAATCGTTTCATATCGCACAGTTCGCCACAACTGTTGTATAGTGAAATTAAAAAGCCACTCACAACATTTACCCATAAACATCAAGAGAAACGCCATCAGCGACAGCAACACCAACAACAACAAAAGCATCAACAAATGTCCTTCCTGTCGAAACACTTCGGTAGCTGTCGTTCTTTTCAAACACAGTCAAGATATAACCTCTTCGAATCGAAGAGTCAAAATTCGGTAAATCTAGGGCTTTCTTCAAAATTGGGTGGCGGTCCCAATGCAGCTTACTTTGGTTCCTTGCAACGCCTTATGCCATACAATTTGGAATATGATTTCACGGTTACTCAAGATCGTTCAGCGTTGAACGAGGAAGATGATGAATTCAATGAACAGGAAGATCGGATGAAAAAATATTGGGGTATAGCAACAACGGAGCTGTAAGGAGTGCTTGCTGCAAACATGAGTTTTATTTTTGGAAAATAATGTAAATTAATGTACAGAAATTAGCGATTATTTGGCTAGGCGCTATTTAAAAATATGTGTTTTTTTAATCTGGTTGCCATTAAATTAATTGCCGGCATGTCGTTATCGGTATTTTTGGGTATTCGATTTCATACGTGCAATCAATGAAATATATTTTAAGCTTAGTTATATTGAAGAAGATTTGCACTGTCCAGCTAAGCATTACATGTTTGAGAAATATACAGATAAATGCACGTTAAAGAAATGGCTTTTCAATGGTAATTTTTGAATTAGTATTAAATTATGGCTTTATTGTGAACAAAAAATACTTCTGTTTTTGAATGCAAGTTTATTATGTTTCGAAAAAATCCTCAATAGTTCCGAGAATATCTTGAAGCTGGCATGACAAAGTCCACAACAACTATAATAATTAATAATATAATTTTCTGGCGCTTACTCTTTTTGTTTGGCCGAGCTTCTCCCCCAATTTGTGGTGTGCGTTCTGAGGTTATAACACAAAAGGCGATGTGTACAATTTTTCGCCGAATGGCAAGTGGCTTAATGAGAAGATTTTTCAAGTCAGAGAACACTGTTTGAAACAACTTTTTTTAATTTAGATGTTACTTGTTTCAGGGATCGAAGCCAGCTTCTACGGAGTGGAAGTACGTAATTCGAACCACTCAGCCACAGAGACCTTGACAATAACTATAAGCTCTCTCTTTATCCGCAATACTACCGTGTGTCAGGGTACCATTTTGATTGAATCAACATGGCCGTGTGTTTATGCTATAAGGCGGAAGATGAGGCAGCATTTAGTGGCCTAAACTTATTCATGGCGACTACGCACACGGATTAATATTTAGAGACACCACTTTCGAGGTTGTAAACAGTATGCGACAAAATTAGGTGTAATAGAACCCACACACAGACGTAGAATAGAGAATTGAAATAAATAATAAGCGCAGAAAGGATCATTTATGGCAGTCATGCCCATGCATATGGAATTCTGCCAACGTTGGACATGACTGATTTATGAAATAAATTGTTTCTCTCCCTTTAAATCTCCAGGTCCAGATGGTATAATAACGTCCATGTTACAGCTAGGGATGCAAACGATGCATCGATGTTTTCAAAACATCAGGGTGGTCCAAAAACAGTAGAGTCGGAATTGTAATGCTCTCACCCCCTAGGATTGTTCTATATCGAAAAAAAGTATACCGCTATTTTGAAATCAAAAATTATTTAGAGGTCGCTCAAAGCGCTCAAAGTTTTCCATGTATTTTTATATGGGGGAAAAAAATTCGTGTAAATGGTATGGAACTCTTGAAAATCACTATTTTTCGATCGGAAACTCTGGCTAACTTCAGGAGACTTTCAATAAAAATACCCAATTGTTTATTTAACCATTTTTTAATACTAACGATTTTTATTGGTCCCCCATTGGATTTTTCAGGGTTTTTGTGGGTTTTTGGCGGACCTATAAATTATAGTTTCGATGAAAAAATTGTTAAATAAACATTTGAGTATTATTATTGGGAATCTGCTTCAGGGAAACAGAGTTATCCGATAAAAAAATATTGATTTTTAAGAATTCTATGCCATTTCTACGAAAAGTTGTTTTTTTCCCATACAAAATACATTGAAATCTTTGGGCGCTTTGAGCGATCTCAAAATATTTTTTTGATTTTAAAATAAAAAAATATGAGTATATTTTTTTCGGTATAAAACAATCCTAGGGGGTGAGAGCATAAAAATTCCAACTTTACTTTTTCCCGTGTGTTTTTGGACCAACCTATTTTACATACATACTGGCGATCAAACGTGAGTGCATGCTGGGTTTTGTTAAATATTTGTCGTTTTTTAAGTAAATTTTTTTTTGTTATTTTTTTTTTTTTATAAAAATATGCTTCATTTCGTAACCAGCACTTAGAAAAATTCAACAAACTTTTTCGTCTGAATATTTGAAAAAATTCTGGGTATGTAATTCTAATAAAACAGGTGCAAGTTTTAAGCGGCTCCAAATCGCTTTGATTTTTCTCTGGCGGCTTTTGGGTTTTTTTTCATATAAATGTGCAATTTATAATAACTGGCGTTTTTAGCGGCATTTTCAAAAAATTCAGATAAAAAAGTTCAAAATTAAGATAAAAATGTGTTGAATTTTTCAAAGTTTTCTATAAAGTTATGGTTTGTAGCAGATATGTGAATCTAGTTCCTTCGAGTTTAAAAAATATTTCAGGCTACGTTTTATTTCGTGTAGTAGTGAAAAGTTGAAACATCGGTATAACCGACGTTTTTTAACATTGATGTTTGTTGTGGGGACACCGATGTTTTCAAGCATCGATGTTTTTAAGAGCGATGTTGCATCCCTAGTTACAGCAAGTAAAGGAGCAAGTAACCGATGATTGAAACCCTCTATATCGTCGATGTTTGTGCAAAACCGCCCATCGACCAATTGCAAAACCGCCTATCTTACGGCATTAAAATTTTACAGGAGAGCGAAAAAACGGTTTTTCTTTGAAGACATTGCCTTGAGAAGCGGTATTTTCTCTAGCTTTTATTTTACGAATCTCTTGTTTTAATAAGGATTTTATGATTTTTATGCATAAATCCCGATGCCTGGAGTTCAGCGTTACTAAATCTCATTTTTGCCACAACGGCGACTTAGGCGGTTTTGCAATTGGTGGATGGGCGGTTTTGCAAAAACATCGACGATATATTTTGTTTAAGAGTTAAAGTAGTGTTTATCCCAAAACCTGTTAATAATAGGAATAAGATACCCCAATTTAGACTTCGAGCCATAGGCGGTAAGAAAATCCCCTTATCTATAAAAATTAAATTGGAAACTTAACTTTGAGAAACTTAAAGAGAGGGCCCACATCTCTTATTGTTAAAATGCTACAAATCGTGAGCTTGTATGGCTTTTATGAGCTTTAGCTTTCGTACAGTATGCGGAGGGCCAGATTTTTAGCGTTCAGTTATTTCTACGTTGTGCAGAAAAAAAAATTCGAAAGGTATTTTTTTGCAGAAAATAAATGAAATAAAACAGCTAACTTTAGTTCAAGCGACCCAAGTCAATTTGAAAGGTACTGCGAAGAACGTAATTACGAGCATAGTGAAACAAATTCTGAGTAAATTAAGAAAAACCGAGGAGCATAAGTTCAATTAGTAATAGCTTAAGGATGTTTGGATGATCCATTGGTTAGAAAAATACCATCATTCGGACCACCGCATTCATTTTTCATAATATTTTTTCAAGATGTCGCACACGGTCTTCAAATGTGACACAACTCAAAACTTGGCATTATGGAAATTATGCACTAAAAATGTACACAGAGTAAAAAGAAGAACAGACAGAGAAAGACAGTTACTCATACGCCACGTACACCTGAGTAACACGCTTTTCTACTAACTTTTATAAATAAAAACCCTTTGAAATTTATGCTAAACTAGATCGCCCTCACCCGCTTCGCTGAGTGTATGAAATTTCTACGTGCTACATTGAGTAAAATTTATTTCAAGAAAATCAATTAAAAAACAGGAGTTTTAAAATTTGTTTAACCATCTTCAAAATAATTTCAAACTGCATAAAACTTTCTTTCTCACTTATCATACTTTTTCTATTAACTTATCCCCTGACTCAATTTGAGATTTCAAACATGTAGATTTGATACCCATATTGTAGTAATTCATTTAAATTATTAATAGTTTGAATTTAACATTCTGAACAGTTGGCAACCTTTTTAAACCTGTTTCGTGTGACACTCATACATATTGTGATACATATTCAAAACCATTTCGATTCATACCAATCTATACAAATATATATTTTGAAAGCCGTTTTTTTGTGTTCGCAAAGCTCGCCCCACAGATTTTTTTTGAAATTTCGGACACCTGCTTCAGACGTCCCAATGATGGTTATAGGCTATGTATATTGGATTTCTGTAGAACAATTATACGCATCCATTTTGAAGTTGCCACCAACTATACTATGAAGTTTCTGGGGCAGATTCACTATAGAACCGGACCATTGTTGCCGCCAGGGAGTGAAGAGGAAATGTTCTTCAAATTTATTTCGTTGTGAGATTAACCGTTCTATGAAATGCTGCACAATTAGAGAATTTCAAGAATTTCTTCACGGACATAACACTTTCGTTAGGTTATTTAAGGCGGCAAAAGACCACCAAACCATAATCTTGCCGATGAGCGTGCCAATGGAAATCGTATACGTGAATTGTTGGTGAAAATGTTGGACCTAAATGTTTCAATGATAAAATTAAGTTTGGACGGAACGAAGTTGGCCGCGTCTGCTAGTATTATAATATTTTATTTAAACTAATTGAATTTAATTTAAAAAATATGGCAACCCTTGTGAAAGACCTCTAAACTTTCAAACTAAAAGTTTCTTATCAATATTTATTTTGACAACCATATTTTAATTCTTCAGATTAATTGGAATTTGACTTTTCAAACAGGTGGCAACCCTTTTCAAAATACATTCAAACTACAGCTTTTTTAAGCCTCTTGACATCAATTTTTTTAATATAATTTTCAAATAAATAACTCCCTTATTTGAAGTTGAATTTGATTTTTTGGAAAAGGTGGCAGCCCTCATCAATGAGTAGATACCAATTTCCAGCAATCTACCAAAAACATTTCCTGAGAAATGCAGTATGAAAAAATTCCGTTTTTTGGGAGGTGCCACGCCCCCTTTTCTAATCGAGATTAAATGTATCCTATATTTTAAGTTGGGCTAAATGACAGGAGTGTACAAAATTTCATGATAATCGGTTGAGTAGTTAAAGCGTGAAAGCGTAGCAATCAAACAAACTCACTTTCGGATTTATAATATTAGTAAGGATAAAGGAAAAAATTCGGCCTCTGTGGTGTAGTGGTAAGCAGTGCGCACTTCCACTCCCCAACGCCTGGGTTCAAACCCTGGTCAAAGCAACATCGCAAAAAATATAGAAAAAAGGTCCGAG